TAACATCGTTCACACAATTTGCCAGAAAAAGCAAAATAACATCGAAACGTAAAGCGAAAGATGTAACGGTGGCTCTTTTGTTATGGTTGGTCAAACTAAAGAGGTACCTATAGGTATTGGAACAAGATTGCTGCAAAGCCGGAGTCTGACTTCAGGTCAGGACTTCGGTTAACCACAACGCTCAAGTAGGACGGATGGAAGAAAAGTCGCAAGATATAATCGATATTACGTCACTTAAATCAATCATTATTACTGCAATGTTATCGCGTAGTGTATAATTCAATAGATTTTGAAAAGTCATCTTTTGCAATCGGACAAAAAGGACAGATGATTACTTAGATTACTTTAATTATATCTATTTAAATAATTTTTGTGTTGTCAATTCACACACATCACATGACCGAATTAACGTGGGTGATTCTTATTTATCTCTGGTTAATCGGTTTTGTTTCTAAGAACTGATTTAAAAATTAATAATCTAATAGACTAAAAATAATTCTTTATCATTAATTTATCTTTATTTACAATACATCGCGTATTTTGTATACTCAAATCAGAGATTATGTTATGCAAAATAACAGGAAAATTACATTAATTTTAATATAAAACGTAATTTATATTATTTTCTATCAATTTTTAGTTTTGGATAAACCCTTTATCCGCAAGAATGTCTAACGTGTTAATGGGGTCTTTATATGTACGGTGTACTTTTCAATAATCAAAACGTTTTTAATATTTTACCAATCTGCTTTTCATCTAGCAATCTGTCATGGTTTTATATTAAAATATATTACCTGATAAAGGTAAATAAATGTAGCGTAAAAAACAATAGCTGTATTTTTTTTTAATGGCTCTGGCACGGTTTGTGCATTAGCCAGCGTCAAGTATAAGATTTTTATAATTCGTGCTTGCCTTAGAAATTCGACTGTGTCCTCCATGTACGGTTTAAGCACTTGCCCGGTACCGCACAACCCTCCCAAAGGCCGAGAACAAATTTAAATTAAATTAAAACTTGCCCTCGAACCGGTAATCGAACCCGGTACCCCTCACCTAGCTGCCATTTAAACAATAGCTATAAATTTTTGCATTAGTTTCATAGATATTTTTATATTATAGACAAGTCACTTGTGTCATCATTGTACATCAGCCTTCTGTGCCTGTTACCAGCCGTTGATTGGTGGGTTTACTCCAAGGGGTTAGCTTTCACCTTAAGAAGGGCCATATCACAGTCTCCAATAAAACAATACATTTCCCTAGATCCTTCTACGGATGGTATACTTTTTAATTCAGATACCAGATGCGTGCTAGTTTCATCAGGATTTCCTTCACCTGAGTTATTATTAATTTCGGACACAGGTAGGAATAATCGGAATCATTTCGGACACAGGTAGGAAAACCGGAATCATTTCGGACACAGGTAGGAAAATCTGAATCTTTTTGTTCACAGTTAGAAAAATCGGAATCAAACGAATGATCTGTTGTCACGCGCCAACAGAGAAAGTGTTTTGTCTATGTAATGTTTAAATAATTGTTTATGACGTCAATTAACGGAAATGGGAATAGATGAAAACAAATTATAATGATAAACATGTTTGTTATAATTGCAATTGATTAGTAGCGATATTATATGACTATATTTATATATATATATTTATTTGAAAACGAGTAATGCAATATAGCGAGGAAATGCCAGTTGCCACCATTAAAGGTACACTGCCACAGGAACCAAACTTTTAATTTTTTTTCATTTTCTATTTATTTTTAATTATTATTATGACTATGTTTAAGAATATTGTAAAAACTGTATATTTGTTTGGATATTAATAATAATTATATTCGAATATATCTATTCTATCTTTTTTTTTTTTTTTTTTATTCCTTTATTTTACAAAATAATATAATACAATCATAATATATTACATTAGAAAACCGCTGTGGTTTGTATAAATGTAACCATAGCAGTCTTGTTTAGGAGCGCGACAAATGCATATAAAAGTAGTTTTTTAATTTACTTTTTATGTTGGTTGGCGTTAGGCAATCTAAAATCTGATTGGGTAGACCATTTATTAGCCGCGGTAGCAAATACCTCAACGTTCTCTCGCCGTATACGTTGTTTGCCCTCGATGTACAGAGCCGAACTTGCGTTACCGCTCGGGTCTGTACGTCATGCTCCACTCGTTTTTTTATGTCATCTCGAAAAAAGTGCTCGACTAGAAGACATTTATTAACTTTTTCTGATATGGGCAATATTTTACAGTGTTTGAAAACTCCTGTTTCTTCATTTTTATATGAGTCGAGCACATTTCTCGAGACAACGTGTTTGAGGATTCGCATTTGGAGATTATATATTCGGTTGAGATACGTCGGATAAGTTCTACCGTAGCTACTCAGACCGTAATTGATGACTGACTCGCAAAGCGCGTTGTAAAGTGAAAGTTTGGTTTTAAATGGGATACGCTTTTTGAGTATTGTTATTTGTGCCAAAAACTGTCGTAGCTTATCGCAGACGTATTCTATGTGTTGATTCCAATGCATGTTTTTGTCTATAATTAATCCGAGATATTTTTGTTTATCAACTATTTGTATAGAAGGGCACTTGCACACTGTTGATTTGTGGAGACATGCGTGATCGTGAGCCACCAATGCTATACCAGTGGCTTCTTTGATGGAATTGGACTGTATGATAAGTAGTTTTGTCTTTTCAATATTAAGTACTAGTTTAGCATCATGGCACCACTTTAGTATGTTGTTAAAATCTGATTGTAACCTTTCAATAGCTTTATGAGGGTCCCTATCTCCAACTAACAAACACGTATCATCTGCGAACTGGTAACAAGTGGAGTGTTCTACTTGGCTATGCATTTGGTTTACGTAAGTCAAAAAAATGGAGAGGCCCGAGGACCGAGCCTTGGGCGGTGCCTTCTGATACTGAAACCACCTCGCTGCGGGTATCGTTTATTTTCACTACATAAGTACGATTTTTTAGATAATTTGAACACCAAGTGCCTAGTGGCCCCTGAATTCCTATAAGATTAAGTCTATCCTCAAGTTGTTTATGATCCAAAGTATCAAAAGCGCGGGAAAAATCGATAAACAAAGCAAGGGTATATTTTTTGAGATCAAGGTTATTATTTACTTCGTCCGTGAAACGCGATAGCAGCCCCGAGGTATTTTTGCCTGCTTGAAACCCAAATTGGTTCTTGTATATTATGTCATGTCGCTTAAAAAAAGATTTAATTTGTTCCCCGATATATTTCTCTACTATCTTGTTTATAGAAGATAGTATCGTTATAGGACGGTAGTTGGCATAGTCACCTTTCTTTCCTTTTTTAAAGACAGGTCTTACACATCCTTGTTTTAAATCATTTGGATAAAGCCCGTATTTAATACTTTGGTTAATTAGATTTTTTATTGCAGGAGAAACTTCGTTTTTTATTAACTTTAGGTCGGATACTTTTATGCTATCAAGGCCCGGAGTTTTCCGAGAATTTAGATTTTGTATAATTTTATTAATTTGTTCTTCGGTCGCGTATTTGAACCGTATGCTTTGGTTCGTTTGGTCACACATGATGTCCGTGTTTGCTAATTTTGTATCACAGTCAACGACACTTTTTTCAACAGTAGTGCTGAAATGTCGGGCAAAGTTGTCAGCTAGTTGTTTAACCGAGATACCTTGCGAGTCAAAAGCTTTCATGATAGCCTCATCGATAGACAGCGTCCTTCGTCCTAGCATTTGATTCAATATTTGATAAACTTTTCTTGAATTTCTAAAGTGTTCTGCTATTTCATTGTTGTAGTAATTGTTTCGTTTTACTTCTATAATTTTGTGTATTTTATTTCTGATACTATTATACTGAAGCCTAATTTCGGGGTCCTGTGAGGACTTCCATTGTTGAAATAATTTATTACGTTTGTCGCAGAGGCTATTAACTTTGTCATCTATCCAAGGTATCTTAAGCTTTTCGGGATAGCTTTGGTATTTTTTTGAGATTTCACATGTCGCTTTTTTGTTAGCGTTTTCGAAGGAAAGGCGAATAAAATTATATATTTCTCTGGGAGAATTCATTGTGTTTGTTTGAAACCAATTAACCTTTTTTAATTCGTTATGTAATATTTTGTAATTAATTTGTTTGCAAGTACGTCCCTGTGTGGGCGTAATAGGCACGGGCATATAGCTTAAGCAGGCAAAAACAATAGCACGGTGGTCGGCCAGTACGGTGTTTAACGCCGCCGTGTACGGACCTAATGAGGGAACGCGGAAGAAGATATGATCAATGCAAGATTGAGTAATTAAATTACTTTTTGTTTCTATTCTAGTAAAGTCAGATATTCCACACGACAGTCCATGCTCGCTGAGCGTCTCTAAGTATGTATCTTTGTAGGTGGAATTCTTTTTTAGGTCAATATTAATATCACCAACTAAAAGCAAATTTGTTACTGAGTTAAAATTCGATATGCAATTGTCGAGCTCCCTTACAAACAGGTTTTGGGTTCTGGGCCTTGGTGGCCTGTAAATAGCACATACAACTATATGTTGGTTAAACCCAATTTTACATGAACCTATTATGTTTTCAAATGTGGTAGCGTTAAAACTGTGAAAAGTAAATTTTAAATGATTTTTTACATACATTATAATCCCACCCCCTTTTTTATTAATTCTTAGTTGAGTGTGCATATTATATGTGGGAATATTAAATAAATGAGTAATTTCACTTTTTATGCCTACTTCAGTTAATACAATAATATCTATAGGGAGATGGCTGTTATTGATCATTTGAAGCAATTTAGGAAAGTTTTTTATAATAGATCTAATATTAATATGTATACATGAAATGTTTACATGACATTTGGTAGGAAGAGATGTTAAAAAATCATTAATAGAACTACAATTAAACATTTCATTACCTGTATTAGTGGCCATAATTAACTTGCAAGATGTGAATAAGAGATACCAACAACAAGTTATAAGTTAAGACAAACACTTAAAATTAGTATATTTTTTATATAGGTGTAGAAAAGACAGGTGTTTTTTCTAGTCTAAGGATGTCCTCTAGAGATCTAACCTGATGAATTTTACTCTCCTCGGTTTTTCTCACAAAGACCTTGCCATCTTTACACCATATAAACTTATATGACATGTTGAGTCTGGATTTAGTTTTGTATAAAATAGTTTTAATGTGTTTTGTCAAGGCTTCTCTCACATAGATCCTATTATTGATGATCTCTTTTGGGGCCTCTGGTAATATTTGACCTAATGTTATACACTTAGCTTTACTTGCGGTGATCCATTGATGCTGCATAGTTCTGGAGTTCAATTTTATTAGTAGTAGTCCAGGTCTTTCATTAGTTCCTTTTGACCACTGGGTTGACTTAATATCAGCATTATCAACCTCAAGCTTGCCTGTTAACACTTCCAAAACGTTTTTCAACTGTCCTGGCGTAGTATCCGGGAGACCTGCCACCTCCAGCGTATCACCAAGTTTTCCTTGCTCCAATGACCTCAGTTGCTGCTCCATAGCACAAACCCTCAGTTCTAAATTTTTGTTTTTGTTTAGGAGATCGTAATTTTTGTTCTCAAGTTTTGTAATAGCTTCTTTCTGGGTCTTTATTGACTGTTCCATTGACGTCATCTGGTCCGACAAGTAGTTTAGAGAGGACTCGATGTGACCCATCTCTTCTTTAAAAGTTTTCTTAAGCTCTCTGCTTATGTCAGCAACAAGTTGTTTCACATTCAGGTTTGATATATTAACTTGCTCCTTCGGTTCCGATTCTTCGTCATCCTCGTCATCAGAGTCATCATTGGGAGTGATGAAGGATGATCTGCGCGACACATTCTTCTGGCATTCATCACAGCTCCATTCGATGCTTGATGAGTTTCGAAGGGCGTTAAGCTGCTTGTTAGATAGCTTCGCACAAACAGGATCAGCATGGACAATGCGATTGCATCTACTGCAGTCAATTCCCGGCGACTTTTTTGTTATATTTTTCTTGCACTTATAACATTTTTTAACCACCATTGCTATACAATAACAATATTCTTATTATTGGGTAAAACAATTTTAGTTTTTTTTTTTTTAAATGTAGGTACTTATATTTTGTAGTTTTTAATTTGTAGGTAGATAGGTCTGTACTCAACGCTCGCACGACAAGACTGATCTATTTATCTATATTCTAGCGTCACAGTTTTAGTTACACCGAAACGGCTTAACCGGTTTTATAAAACTTGTGTTTATTCAGTTTGTCTAAATAGGTCGTAATTTTTATATAATACGATATAAAAATACATATAATTCTATATGAATGAGTAAATCGCGCCTAGAAGGATCTAGATTCTAGAGAAATGCCGTGTCTTATCGGAGAGACTGTGACGTGAACGCTAGATCCACCCTTGGAGTAAACCCATTAACCCAGTATCAATGGCTTGTAACAGGCACAGAACTCCACATCTACCTGACTATAATATAAAATGATCCACAACCTTTGTTTTTACGCTACATTTATTTACCTTCTGTCATCTTTTTATAACGATATTAGTACTGTAATAATCTTTAAATAGCAAAACGTTTGCCGGGTAGCTACTTTTCAACAAATATGATTTGCTTGTCAGTTTTAGGGTTTTCAGTTGTTACATTGGCGTTTTTGTTATAAGTAATTGTTTAAACTTGATCCAATAGAAATATAATTTGTCCATAATAAATTAATATTAAATTATAATTCATGTTGTCTTTTTCGACTGTTTCCGTATGACTGGTGCATATGTCACCGTAAAATTGTAAGCACCGTTAGATTGTAATCTATCTCGCGAGATTGTAAACTGTCGAAAGATTGTGAACTCAACGTACTGCTTACAATTTAACGTATTATTATTCGGTAGATTGTAATCTGTCGAAGTGAAACCGTCAAATTGTGAAACGGCCATTTTCTACTTTTCTATTGGTTATAAGAGATGTGACATTCTCGTTTGCTATTGGTTATATGTGATGTGACATTCTCGGTAAATTAATCGGATCGATTATTTCCTCATTTCGTCGCTTAGCTAACAATACCGCATAAGTCAGATTTGCTTAGTTTTCAGGAGAGACAAAAAACTGTATTACTTTAACATTTTGTACAATACATGCATGATAAAAATTTTAATATATTGTATTTAGTTAAGCATGATAACTATAAAAACAAATAAAAGAAATATCGTCTTATTAGGTAATTTTCAAGACTTGAGCAGTTTTACTCTAACAAAATAAAGACTTACGCGGTGTTTTTACCTTTTATTTTTAAGCTCTATAAGTATTTCATAGAAAATCTTTCTATGAAAAACTATCAAAATAAAAACATTTTTCAAAAAACAGTTTTATAAAACTAATTATTAACTTCAATAAAATAAAAAAGATTGCTAAATTAGCTTTTTATAAAAAAAAACACATTTCTTTGCCGTTTTATTTTCTTATTCCAACAGGACAACCCTTGCCGGGTTCGCTAATATTATAATATATTATAGGAACTCATTGACTTTTACGACTGTACTGTTTGACGAGATCAACTACTTACCTACTGAGATCAATAAAATTATCTAAGTTACAATGGAAACCAGAGCAAACCACTGCTTTGTAATTTAGGTAATTTTTTCCATGACTTCTAATAATTCTAAACTATCAAAAACTTTAATAAAATGGTACATTTAACACAAACAATACAAGACAATAAGAACACTTCGAATACTTAACCTACTTCTAAAAATAATACAAAATGTTTATGGATCTAATAATGAAAAATATTTAATTTTTATAAGGTAACTCATCATAATATGAGTGGCAGTTCGAAGGTATCACTGCCTTTAAATCTTGGAGATCCTTATATTTTCTTTGGGAAATTGGCAGTCTTTCAGAAAATAATTTCGGCAGCTCTTCTAAAGGTTTAACATTGGTAATTTTCATTGGACGCTGAGGCAACGGCTGCAAAGGTTCGTCAAAGTTTAAGCTATACCAAATAGTTCCATCTGGTTTATATTTTAATACCCTTAAATCGGTAATAGTGGATTTTCTGCCCGGACGAATGGTTTTGTAAATTAAATCCTTACTGAAATTGGTAAAAAAAGAGAATTCTAATAATCGAGACTCATATGGCATTGGGTTATCTCTAGCTGTCTTTGTTATATTCGCATACTGGGAAGGAAGGTAAATTTCTTTTCCCTTTAATCTACATTCGATGGCACTGTGCACAGAGTCGCATTCCATCTGCGTGTGACCTTTTTCTAAGATTTGTTGAGTTTTTTTAACTTTTTTATCGATGGATAAACGCAGAAGAGCATTGCTTAAGATGGAATTTCGATTTTGTGCACAGCAGCCATCAGAATACAATATTACCGGTAGTAATTTTCTATTTAAAATTATCTGTAGTTGATCCACAATGCACGATGCGAAAACAGAAGCTTCAAGGGAGCCATTTGATTCATCGAACCAGTAGCAGCAAGCTTCACGTGTTGACAAATTATACATGGTAAAATTGTGAACAGATAAAATGTCTTGTAGTACATGGCACTAACCTTGCGTAAATATATGACACGTTTTTCCTTCTATTGCCAATTTTTTGTCAGTGTCTTTTTCTTTTCTAGCTTTGTCTTTCCTATCGCGATGTATTGCAATTTCAGTATCGTTTATATTTCCAACTTTATGACCACAGCATACATCGCATTGATCTTTTTTGGGATGAAACAGACTAAGATTCTGTTTTAAGAATACATTGTCAAAAACCCTACGACTAAGACATTTTAAGGAATCTAATTCGCATTTACTGACGTATTCTTTGTATAATTGTGCCATGGTATGAAATACTGGTTCTAGGTATCGTCTGGATGAGTTCTCTCGACAGTAGACGATGGCATCTTCGGCAGGCTATCTAAAAATTGCTGTAGACGCTCGTGACCATCAGAGTTCTTTTTGGAGCAATCTACATTCCGAGAAATCTCAGAAGGCGGTGGCATAGCACAATCTGTCGTTATCAACCAGTATCGGACAAACCATTATTTAATACCCAATGTATTTAATAACATTTTTTCTCTATGTCTCTTTTGTAAGTCACGCAAAGTAATAACTTTTACATTGAGCGGCAACTCTTGAAAAGTCATCAGGCGTGGTATCATTATCGACCATTTTGTCCATTTTCGTGTTCTGAAGTAAAATATATATTATAATTACGATATAGAAATCATTAAAAAAACTGCGTAAAAATCGCTAATTATATCGATGAATACCACAGCAGTCAGAAACTCAACACAGAAGTACATTGTAAGTCATTCAGACATCGAAACCAAGCAAAGAGAAAACCGCCTAACTCAACGAAACTGTTCATTCCAACACCGCTTAAGTATTCATGTTTTTAAATGCAATCGTATGACGTATTTTAATAGATAAAATATGAATACTATGTTTTATTTAAGTTACCTTACCTTTAAACTACATCAGTGGGGCCAGTCCGTTACAAAAAATCCGCTTTTATAAAAACGACAAACGATCTTATAAGGTGCGACGTGGCACGGCCAAATTACTATGGCGTTATGATGACTTGCGCGGTGTTAGCGCAGCCAATGAGTTGTGTTGTGTTACTAGTTTTTGAATAACGCGCTCTTATTGGACGATATTACCTCTAGCGAGAGCTCATTAGACGCGCGGGAAAGTAATCTATCGAATGGTGTAAAAAACGTCATTTGGCTAAAATATGACTTGTGCGGTATTGTTAGCTAAGCGACGATTTGTTATCTTTAAAGTTGAACCTAATCGAATCGATTATTTCCTCATTTGTTCATTTTAAATTTTAACCTAATTTAACCAATACTTGTCAAATGTACATACATTACACTAACTTAATGTTTCAATTAGTGTATGGTTCCGAATTTTTTTTAAATATTCAAAAAGTACCCAAAACCGAATCAGAGCACCCCACTATCCACGTGGTCTTGTCTGCCCTACCCCTAGAGTGTATATAAAAAAATCGGAGGCGCAGTGGAAGAGCAGCCCCCACCCGCTGTAACAAAGCACAGACATTATGCAAGCTGCGGAGGCTTGAATAAATTGCCTGTGCTTTGGTACGCAAGGGTGGAGGGGCTGCATTTCCCGTAGCGCCGGTGCTGTCCAAAAATGTATTATTTTTCGGTTAGGTTAGGTTAGTATATTAATAATTTTTTTTAAATAACTGTTCAACTGAAACTCGAAATCGAATACAAAAACGAATACAAAAATCGATTTTCACTTTTAAAATATAGATTATCTTTGAATAATTTCAAAATTTTCGGAACCCTACACTAATTGAAACATGAAGTTAATGTAATGTTTGTACATTTGGCAAGTAATGGTTAAATTAGGTTTAAATTTACAATTAACAAATGAGGAAATAATCGTTTCGATTAGGTTCAACTTTAAAATTAACAAATGAGGAAATAATCGATTCGATTAATTTACCGAGAATGTCACATCACTTATAACCAATAGAAAACGAGAATGTCACATCTCTTATAACCAATAGAAAAGTAGGAAATGGCCGTTTCACAATTTGACGGTTTCACTTCGATAGATTACAATCTACCGAATAATAATACGTTAAATTGTAAGCAGTACGCTGAGGTTCACAATCTTTCGACAGTTTATAATCTCGCGAGATAGATTACAATCTAACGGTTTTTACAATTTTACGTTAACACATACAAATTTCTGTTTATCACATACTTTTCTATAAAGACAAGAAGATCTTTCAGCGCCTTACCTTACCTTTAAGAACTGTCATAGACAATATGGTTATAAAGCGGTGGTTTACACATAAACAGAAAAGCAATAAATTAGAATTGAACTTAAAAAAAATTTAATGCATTACCAAATTTATTTTCAACACACAAACAAAACAAATTTACCTTTAATCCTTTACCTAGAAATTTATTGTCTGTTTAATGTTAATATTAGAACATGTATTTAATAATATATAATATATAGGAGACATTTACGATTGCGGAATTAAACTCTGCTGACATTTA